TATAAAAGGCGACATCACCGAAAAAGGCGACGTGACGTCGCTTTTTATAAATAAATAAATTATATATATATATATATATATATATATATATCATTCCGTCCGGTAACGGACAGTCTGTGTACCGGTCAACTGACGGACCGGTACGTACCGCCCATACTGGGCGGTATTATTTGAAATTGCATACCTTGGTTTGTACTGGTACGTCCAAAAATCCGTACATGCACACTCACATGCTTTAGTATATTAATTTACCACTGATTCTGGTACTAATTTTCTAAACAAGATGACTAGAATAATTGAGGTTAATTGCATGGTCACAATAAAAGGTAAATACTAGTGAATCTGCTCAAATCTGAAAGCACTTGGTAATATTTGGTAATGCTATGGCTCTGGAAAAGAAGCATGAAGTATCCTATTGTTCAGTGACTTAGACGGTTGTCTAAGAGACAAGCAACTTAGAAGACTAGGACTGAGTCATAGGGTTATGTCTCTTATTTGCTGTGGGTCTGTTTGTTTCTTTATTAGTTCCTTTGTGCGTAACTACTATAAGTGACAAGTTTTGAGTTGAATTAGCCAAATTTTGCAACCTTGTGCTGCTGTCCCTTATGACATTATGCCATGTTATCACAGACTTAGCTGGAATTACCTAAATCGTGAGGCACCCTTGCGGCAAAGTCACAGACTTAGCTGGAGTTGCCTAAGTCGTGAAGCACCCTTGCGCCAACTCCTCGGACTTAGCTGGGATTGCTTAAGTAATGAGGTGCCCTTGCGACATATGCGTCTGCAAAGGATCAGCTTAGTCGCAACATCGTACAGGTCCCGAAGGACCTGAAAAACAGAAAGTTGATTAGTTTGAAAATGAGCGACAAACAAGTCCCGACGTCTCGCGAAGAGGGAAGCTTTACAAACAATTCAGCGAGCACCTTGAGTGCAAGAGAGAAAAGAGAGGAAGGAGAAAACAAGGACTTTAGAACGTTGAACGAACAGTTGCAAGTTCGCAAACAACTGCTTATTGGGTGTCGGGCACGAAGGCAAGTTCCCGTCAAGTTAACGTGCGAACTTGTGAAGATTGTTCAACGCCCGAAACTACCCCGAAGCCCCATCCCCCCTGGTGCCAACCAGGGGGTTCCAAGGTGTTGAGATCGCTGAAGTTTTGCGTGAGGCTGCGCTCTGCAGAAAACAGGCTATGACATGCGAAAATGAAGCCATTTTGGGGCAGTTTGGCCCGACGCAGCGAGCGGTTGCACTGCAGCGCTGCGAAGTGTCGTTGCTTACATTTTTCAAGCAAAAACACACAAAATCAAGGCAAAACATGCTGCCATGTATCTGTACAAGCTTACAAAAGCGACGAACGGTTCGTTGAACGAAGTTGTTACGGGTGCGCGACGACTGTTTATGACATTCTCCCTTACGTAAACTGTCGATGCCCTCGTCGACGCATGCTAGAGGGCTTTGATGGCTGCTTCTTCATGTCGTAGGGCATCTTCAGGCTCCCAACTGGCTTCAGACTAGGGAAGCTTTCGCCACTTCACCAAGTACTCGATCTGCTCAGCTCCGTTGGGTAGCTTCGTCTTGCAATCCGCTAAAATGGTTTCAACTCGCTTCTCGTAGGAGGCTCTGGTGGGAGGTAGCCGGGTTGGAACACTTCGAGAAGCATCTTGCGGATCTGAGTTGTAGGCTTTCAAGTTGTTGGCGTGAAAAACATTATGAATTTTGAGCCACGCCGGCAGTTACAACTTGTAGGAGACATTGCCCACCCTACTGATAATTGGGAAGGGACCTTCATACTTGCACACCAATCCTTTACGCACTTTGTGCCTAAAGAACTAAAGTGATGTTGGTTGGAGTTTCACCAACACCAACACCAAGTCACCGACTTTGAACTCCTACGGTCACCTTCCCAAGTCTGCTCACTTCTTCATCTTTTTGACCGCCTTCTCCTAATAAGCCCGCGCAATATCTACATTGCGGTGCCATTTTTTTGCAAAGTGATATGTTGACGGACTACTCCCTGAATAACCGATAGCCAAGGTGAGGTGTGAGGAGTCGATGGTTGTTGTCCTGTAATGATCTCGAAGGGGTTCTGTTGGACGCTGAACTCCGTTACAAGTTGTAGGAGAATTGAGCTATGTCCAACAGCTTCACCCAATCTCATTGGTTGGCACTCACGTAGTGCCGAAGATATTGCTCGAGAAGCGAGTTTATCCTTTCAGTTTGGTTACCCGTCTGGGGGTGGAGGCTTGTGGAGAAGTATAACTTAGACCCAAACAATTTGAATAGCTCGGTCCATAATCGTCCCAGGAACCGAGCGTCTCGACACTTCCCCAAAGCCCCATCCCCCCTGGTGCCACCCGGGGGGTTCCAGGGTACTGAGATGGCTGACGTTTCGTGTGAGGCTGCGGTCTGCAGAAAACAAGCCGTGGCACGCGAAAACTGAGCCATTTTAGGGCAGTTTGGCCCGACATAGCGAGCGATCGCACTGCAACGTTGCGAACTGTCGTTGCTTACATTTTTCAAGCAAAAACACACAAAACCAAGGCAAAACATGCTGCCATGTATATGTACAAGCATGCAAAAGCGACAAACGGTTCATTGAACGAAGTTGTTGCGGGTGTGCGACGACCGTTCGTGACAATGTGGTGTAGAGGAAGTCATATAGATTAACTATTCCAAAAACGAAAGCTTTTTACAGTTGTGTTCATAGTTGACAGATATAGTAGCAAAACATGCTGCCATGTATCTGTACAAGCATGCAAAAGCGACAAACGGTTCGTTGAACGAAGTTGTTGCGGGTGCGTGACGACCGTTTGTGACAATGTGGTGTAGAGGAAGTCATATAGATTAACTATTCCAAAAACGAAAGCTTTTTACAGTTGTGTGCATAGGTGACAGATAGTAGCACAAATCAAACTGCTGTACATGTTTGACTGTCATAAACCCTTTATCATTTATGGTTACTCATTTTGCTCAATTTATTTCTCTATAACTGTTCTAATGATCCATGTTCATTTATCTTTTTCTTCATTTATTGTCTTTGATTTCTATCCAAATAGTTTTTTGGTAAAAAGGCATGGTTTCCTTGTTTATCACCATCTGGACATAAAAGAGAACATACATTAGAATTAGTTACAAGCTTAAAATTACGGCAGTTGTTGTCATCATCTTAAAACTTTTCTTGGCCTCTCCAAATTATGGTGGGTAGATTGCATGTCTGACATTGTTAGCTGTGCAGGCATTTCTATAAGATATTATGTCTAAAAATGTGTGATTTGTTTCTGATCCTTTTTTACTTATTTGTTAAGCAGTATCTTGCGGTTTCTGCTCATCCTCCGAGTTCTGCGTATCACAAGATAGGTGTCCCTGTGATTGGAAGGGGTATGATTCAAATTTGGTGCCTCTTAAATTTGGATGAGGAAATTGAGATCCCCATAGCAAGTTCCCGAGGCAGGGGAAGACCTAGAAAGGAAAATATCATACAAAAACATGATTTAGATGGCATAAATGTTTCAGCCACACGCAGGCCTAGGGGGAGACCTCGAAAGAAACCAGAAATTGAAAAATCAACCACTCCAAGACCTCGAGGGAGACCAAGGAAAAGACCAGCTTCTTCAAGCGATGAAGAGTTTAGTCCAACAAGGCCTCAAGGAAGATCTGAGAAGTTGATGCAGAGTGCAGTTGATCTTAATGGTCTGAATGATGTATCTCTACAAAATCTTACAAGGTCTCCAGTAAAGAGTACAAGGACATGTTCAAATGATGATAGAATATCATCTCTTAGAAAGTCCAGAGGGAGACCGAGAAAACATTCTATTCCAGGCATTATTAATGTGAATGAGAAAGAGGCAGCACCTCCTCTTGGTAATAATGAGATCAAGAACACGGTTAACTTTGTTGTTCCGTTATGTGTTGATTCGGGTAAGAATTCAGTGGACTTGCCAGTTCTATCAGCTGAGTGTAAGGAGGATCTGATTCAACCAAAACGTAGAGGAAGACCTAGGAAGAAACCGATTTTGAGTTTGAACAATTCTGTTTCATCAGCCAATGAATCAGGAAATGATGCCACTACATTGCCCAATCCAAGTGAACATGGGACAAATGGGGACACATTGCATCTATTTGCTGAGAATGAAATTCTGAAGACACGGGACAATGTTCCATCTTTATCTGAGTCACAAAACAATTCACTGTCTTTGCCTGTTTTACCTGCTTTAAATTGTAAAGAGGAACCAATTCAACCAAAGCGTAGAGGAAGACCTAGAAAGAAACAAGTTCAAAGTTTGAATAATTTTATTTCATCATCTCTTGATGTATTGGGAAATGATACCAATGTATTGCCTAATTCAGGCAGACTTGGGATTTCAGATGGTAAGGAGAAATTACTATGCAGTAACAATGAAAATTTGAAGACAGGCGACAATGTTCTGTCTTTGTCTGTTGAGTCACAAAACAATTTAGCAGATGTTAAGTGCAAAGAAGAATTGATTCAACCAAGAAGTAGAGGAAGACCAAGAAAGGAAGTTCTGAATTTGCCTTTGTCTGTTTGTGTATCAAATGCCTTACCAAGGAAGGATACAAATGATAAGGATGAAAACATCGGTAAAGGTCAGACAGGGGTGGAATCTGTTCCATCTGATGTCACAGTGAGAAGAGAAGAAAAAGGAAATAACAAAGAAGATCACAATTGTGAGAGCACCATTTTGTCTGAGTTAAGCAGAGATGGTAAGTTATCAGCTGAATGTGTACCAACTCATGACCATCATTATGAAGATTCGGTGCTCTTTAATCATGAAACTGTTGATAAAAGGTCACCTGAAGTCGAATCTGTTCATCCTTTGATACCACATATCCTTGCTTTGCCCAGAGTTGTATTTTGCTTAGCACACAATGGAAAAGTTGCATGGGATGTGAAATGGAAGCCACCAACTACGAATGCAGCTTGCAAACATCGCATGGGATATCTTGCTGTATTGCTGGGAAATGGTTCTTTGGAAGTGTATGTGAATATCTTATCCTAGTCATTTTTATCTCACATATTGGTTGTATAATCTAATGTGTGTATATTTTTTTAAATATTTTTTGGCAAATGCAGGTGGGAAGTTCCACTTCCTGGCCTGGTCAAAGCCTTATATACTTCTAGTCGTGATGAAGTTAGCGATCCTCGTTTTCTCAAGTTGACACCTGTGTTCAGATGCTCAAAGTTGAAATATGGGGACAGGCTAAGGTAATTGGATATCCAAGAAATTATATATCTGTTGAATTCAATTCTGTGCTAGCTTTTAAAATTTTATGTTTGTGAATTTTAATTTTCTCAATGACACTATTTCCAAAATAAATTTTCCTTTCACTTTTTGAGAGATTGATTTGATATCTACAATCTAGTTAACTCTTTTTTTATCTGATAAAACCAATATAGTCAAGGGCGCTAGGTGCTAAAAGGCACAAAGGTGTCAAAATGTCCAAGGCATTAGGCGCTCGTCCAAGCAAAGTAAGACACTAACAAATATTAAGGTTTAAAAAATATATAATTAAGGAGAAATATGAGCGCTAAAATAAAATTAAGGAATTACATGAGTTTTGTGTCACTTTATATTTCAAATATCACCATTGAAACATTGGTTCGATGGTGACATTTATCTAAAGTACCAAAGTACTATATTGTGCAAAGTACCAAAGCACTATATTGTGCAAATCTAGTAATAAAAATGACAAAACAAAAGAAGATAAATGCCAAAAATCTAACAATTTCCCTCAAGAAAGTCAAAGAGGAGGAAGAAAAACGCCAAAAGTTCGGAAGGAGAGGAGGAAGAAGCAAACAGAAGGAGAAGAGAAAGAAACGTTCGGAAGGAGAGGATGAAGAAGCAAACAGAAGGAGAAGAGAGAAGGCAAAGAGGGATGTAGCTATTAGGGAAGAGGAAGAGTAGGGCTATCGGGGTTGGAGTAGGAGTTGAATGATGGGGAGGGTGGCTGTCGGTGTGAGCGGGAGGCTGCGATGAAGGGGGGGAAGAGGGAGGTGGGAGGGGAAGGGAGGGGG